TACTTCTTTTCTAATACTACCATTTAAAGCTACACATTTTAGGGCACATGGGTGGCTTACAGTCACTTAAGCATCCAGCCCTTGGTTTTGGCTCAGGTCATGATCTCATGGGTTATGGTCTCATGAGTTGTAAGATCAAGCCCTGCCTCTGGCCCCACTCATACATGCACTCTCTCTCTCTTTAAAATAAACAAATCTTTAAAAAATAAAAATAAAAAATAATAACAAAGCTACATATTTCATGCTAACATTGTTTAAGTGCATCTCACAAACTGATGTGTTTTCATTATCACTCAATTCCAAATATTTTCTAATTTTTCTTGAGATTTTGTCTTTGAGTTATGAATTATTTAGAGTATATCATTGTATTTCCAGATGCTGGAAGTCTTCCTTGTTACTTCATTGTCACTGATTTCTTTTTAAGATAGATTTATTCATCTTAGAGAGAGAGAGAGAAAGTATGAGCAGGAGAGGGAAGGGGGAGAGAGAATCTCAAGCAGACTCCGCACTGAGTGCAGAGCCTGATGCAGGGCTCGATCTCAAGACCACAAGTTCACAACCTGAGCTAAAAACAAGAATCAGACACTTAACTGACTGTGCCACTCAGACGCCCAATTATCACTGATTCTAAATTTTTTTTATAAGATTTTTTATTTATTTATTTGACAGAGATCACAAGTAGGCAGAGAGGCAGGCAGAGAGAGAGAGAGAGAGAGAGAGGAGGAGGAAGCAGGCTCCCCGCCGAGCAGAGAGCCGGATACGGGACTCGATCCCAGGACTCTGGGATCATGACCTGAGCTGAAGGCAGAGGCTTTAACCCACTGAGCCACCCAGGCGCCCCATTATCACTGATTCTAATTTAATTCTGTTGTATTCAGAGAATACACTTTGTATGATTTTAATTCTTATAAATTTATTAAGACTTGTTTTATGGCCCAATATATAACCTATCTTGGTGAATGTACCATGTGCACTTGAAAATAATACATATTCTGTAGTTTGGGGATGCAGTGGTCTATAAATGCCAATTATATCAAGATGGCTGATTATGTTGTTGAGATGTCCTATGTCTTTACTAATATTTTGTCTAGTTATTCTATCAATTACTTAGTATGTTAAAATATCCTACTCTCGGGATGTCTGGGTGGCTCAGTCAGTTGAGCATCGAACTCTTGATTTTGGCTCAGGTCATGATCTCATGGATCATCAGACTGGGCTCCATGCCTAGCAGGAGGTCTGTTTGAAGATTCTCTCCCTCTGTCCCTCCCTCCACATGTATGTGCATATGATCTCTCTAAAATAAATAAATAAACCTTTAAAAATATATACTACTATATTGAGGAATTGCCTATTTCTCCTTTTGTTAATTTTTACTTCATATATTTTAAAGCCCTTATTACACAAAAATACATTTATAATTGATATGCTTCCATGATGAACTGTTCACCATTATGACGCAGACCCCTTATAATGCTCTGTCTTAAAGTCTGTTTTATCAATATTTAAAAGTAACCATTGCAGTCTTTCATACTTCCTTTTTGCATGTTATATCTTTTCCCATCCACTTACTTTCAAGCTACATGTCTCCTATAGCCAGCCTATTGTAGGAGTTTGCTCTTTTATCCATTCTAGCAATTTCTGCCTTTGAATTAAAGTTTTTAAGACCATTTACATATAATCATTGCACTGGTGAAATTTGGATCCACCATTTTATTATTTGTTCTCTGTGTTATTTTCCTTCCCTTTTTCCCCTTTCCTGCCTTCCTTTGGATTATTTCTATTTTGTTGGTGATTACCCTAAAAGCTACAGTATGTACTCTTGATTCATCAAAGCCCATACTAATCAATACATTTACCACAGTCTCCTCCTGCCTGAAGAACACCCTGTAGAAGTTCCTTTAGTGCTGATCTGTTGTGGCACATGCTCTCAATTTTGTGTTTATCTAAAAATGTTTTCAGGGTGCCTAGGTGGCTCAGTGGGTTAAAGCCTCTGCCTTCGGCTCAGGTCATGATCCCAGAGTCCTGGGATCGAGTCCCGTATCGGGCTCTCTGCTCAGCAGGGAGCCTGCTTTCCCCCTCTCTCTCTGCCTGCCTCTTGGCCTGCTTGTCATCTCTGTCTGTCAAATAAATAAATAAAATCTTTAAAAATAAAAAATAAAACTGTTTTCATCATCTTGCCTTCATTCTTGAAGGATTATTTTTTTAACTGGGTAAAGACTTCTAGGATTGCCATTTTCTTTCCTTATAGTAAAAAACGTGACTTTACCCTTTTCTGGTTTCCATTGTTGTTCAGAAAGAAACTGTTAGTTTAATTCAAGTGTGGGCAAATTATGACCTCTGGGTAAAACTGGGCCCAGCGCCTGTTTTTGGAAAGACAGCTTTACTGGAGCACCACCACAACCATTCGCCTATGTACTGTCAATGGCTGGTTTTGTACAAGGGCAGAATTGAGAGGTTAAACAGATCACATGGTACTAGCATAAAGTCATACAGACAGACCAATGGTCTAGACTGGAGAGGCCAGAAACAAATGCTCACTTATACGGTCAGATGATCTTCCATTTCAGATGCTAAGACCACTCAATGGGGAAAGGACAATCTCTTCAACAAATGGTGTAGGAAAACTATATCCACATGCAAAAAAATGGAGTTGCACCCTTATCTTCCATAATATTCAAAAATTAACTGAAAATGAGCTAAAGGCCTAAGTGTAAGACCTAAACTATAAAACTCCTAGAAGGAAACATAGAGGAAAAACTTCATGACATTGGACTTGGCAATGATTTCTTGGATAGGACACCAAAAACACAGACAACAAGAGCAAACAACAAACAAACAAACAACCCCTCCCCAAAAAAAACAAGTGGGACTACATGAAACTTAAATACTTTTAGGTATCCAAGGATCAATCAGCAGAGTGATTATGAGTAGAATATTAGCTACATTAATAAATGTGTGACCTTATTCGTTTCTTTTTGCAAACAGGTTACTTATCCTCTCCAAGCCTAATTTTCCCAATCTTTAAAATGATGACAATATCACATTCAATGTTTTTTATGGCATAAAAATGGGTATGCAGCAAATATTAGTTCCTGTCCTTTTCTAAATTGCCTTCAGTCTATGCTGTTGTCTTTAACATTTTCAATGGTGAGAAATTTTAATGTTTCATCATGGATTGGACCATATATTCAAATAAAAGTGACTATACAAGCTAAGTTTAATAAATATGATGAGTGATCTAAAAAGTGTTTTTGCAGAAACACTAAAACTAAAACACTTTCATCTAAAAAGTGTTTTGCAGAAAGAACCCTATAAGTCTGAGTAAGATCTTGATCCTATCACTATCAGTTTACCTTTTGGAGAATTTCTCAGAGAAGTTCTCAATATTTTTCAATTTTTATAGGCTAAAATGATTGTCTGACCTGATTAATGCTACCTGAATTACATGCTTCTGTCATGCATACAGTGTGAGAATATTAAAGTTGGCCACTGGAGACTTTGATGACTTGTTTTTTGAATCATATAAAGAAACATGTTTTATTAGATGTTACTGTTTTCTTTAAAAATGGTTTTGTCCAATTGCCTTGGGAACAGGAGAACAGGGGCACCTGGGTGGCTCAGTAGGTTGAGAGTCTAACTCTTGATTTTGGCTCAGGTCATGATCTCAGGATCATGAGACTGAGCCCTGCACCAGGCTCCATGCTGAGCATAGAGCATGCTTAAGATTCTCTCCCTCTGGTGTGCACGGCTGGAGCAGTCAGTTAAGGGTCTGACTCTTGATTTCTGCTCAGGTCATGATCTTGGGGTGGTGAGATGGAGCCCCATGTTGGGTTCTGTGCTCAGCAGGGAGTCTTCTTGAGACTCTCCCTCTCCCTCTTGCTCATGCTCCCTCTCTCTTTAAAATAAATAAATTTTTTTAAAAGATCTTATTTATTTATTTGACAGAGAGAGACACAACAAGAGAGGGAATACAAGTAGGGGGAGTGGGAGAGGAAGAAGCACACTTCCTGCTGTGCAGGGAGCCCAATGCAGGGCTTGATCCCAGGACCCTGGGATCATGACCTGAGCTGAAGGCAGATGCTTAATGACTGAGCCACCCCCTAAAATAAATAAATCTTAAAAAAAATTCTCCTCTTCTCCTTCTGTCTCTCCTACCACTACCCACGTGCACGCTCTCTCACTCTCTCTAAAAATAAATAAATAAGTACATAAAATAGTAGAAACAACTCTATGGGGGCACCTGGGTGGCTCAGTGGGTTGGGCCTCTGCCTTTGGCTCAGGCCATGGTCTCAGGGTCCTGGGATCAAGCCCCACATCGGGCTCTCTGCTTAGCGGGGAGCCTGCTTCTCGCTCTCTCTCTGCCTGCCTCTCTGCCTACTTGTGATTTCTCTCTCTGTCAAATAAATAATAAAATCTTAAATTAATAAAAAGGAAACAACTCTATGTGCCTAAAACCATCATTAATTCTGGATTCCTACAAACCACAAGAAAAACAATACCACCGATAAAAAAGTCATACTTCATATTATCTTTATAATGTGCTTGGGATAATGTCATTAATGACCATCTAATTCTTTTCTGCCACAGTTTGAGCATATCCCCTCTTGTCCTACATTCTGTTAGTAAGAAAATAAGTACATTAATAATGATAAAGTCTTTGGCACTTGAAGCAGCTGTTAAGTCACTCTTCATCCTTGCCATCTGCAAGTTAAATAACTTACTTTCCTTTGCTTTTACTTAATATGTTCTATCTCTTAGAAAGCTCAAATTTGCAATAGTAGGAAAATACATACATGCAATACTAGGAAAATAACTTTTACACACTTTTAAAGGACAATTAAGAAAACACATAGGTTAGAATTACAGTTACATAAAAAAGCAATGTGGTAAGTATAATATAATCATGAATAAAAATGAAGACTCAGAAAAAAACTGTCATTCATATATTAATTCCATACCATGGTTCTAATTCTAGTATTCTAGAGCACAGTAATCCTTACCAGGGGACTTTCCTTGCTGTGAGTTGCTTCTTCGCTCTCTGTATCTGGCTGGAGTAGATAAACCTGCGTCTTTACTTGGCTTGCTAGCAGGCCCCATTTCTGAAATAAGGAATCCCATCTGTTCTGAAGGCAAGATATTCTCAGGTGGATTGGTCTGGCATTTTATACTGGCATCCACCTAAAATATGAAACCCACTCATTACTCTGAATTTATCCCAAATACCTCCTAAAAGTTAAGATATTTTATCAGAGGAGTTCTAATATTGAAACACGATCCAACAAACATATCTGTAAAAAGCTTTTCATTCTTATGAGTGATACCACCTTTGATTTTTTTGGAACTAATCTGAATATTCAGTAGTAGGATATATATTTTCCCATGCACAAAGCATTGAAATGTATATGGAGCTAAAACATTTACTTAGGGTCAGCAGATTAACCATGAAGCTTGTTGTTGTTGTTGTTCTGGTAAAATTCACACACAAATACAAATTTACAATTGGTTAAGACCACTATCTTTCTCCACTCTAGTATCCCTTCCATCCGATTTCCACTCCCATTGGTAATATTAAAATGGTCACTGGCAAAATCCTGTTGGATGATGTCAGTGGAGCCGAGGACACTTTATTCTACTAATTTTGTATTCTTTGTCTTAAAGAGACCCTCAAAATTGTATGAGCTTCTGCCCCTAAAAAAATCTAGATCTGTTCTGTTTATGAGATATAAGTTTGGAGTTCCTAAATTTTCTCTGGAATGCAAATTCCTTCCCTAAGGTGATCAACTTCTGAAATACTCTTATTTCTTTGAATTCATTTTAAATAAAACTATATAATGAAATAAAGCTAAAAGTTAAAAACAGCTTTTAAAGGCTCTGATGTTCAAACATTTTTTAAAGATCTTGAAAGTAATTATGTGAATGCAATTTTAAGGTATGAAATCTAGTACTTTGGATGTGACTATGAAGGAACAAAGAGAAATTTTCTTTTCTTTCCACAATCATATTTGAAACACAATGGGCCTATCTTTGGTCTACAGAATTTATAGTACTATTTTAACACATGATATACTGGGTCTCAACAGTTGGGCTCAAAAAAGGACAATGAGTTGATAGATACCTTAAGACAGATAGATCTAAAGTTAGAGCTAAAAAAGAATGCATTAAAAAAAAACACAACTGCTGGGCAACCCCTTCAGGTCCCCCTCCGTCCTTGGGAGCTTTGAACTATCACTTTGCTATCACTCAACAGACTTTGCTTTGCTATCCAACAACAACGACAACAACAAAAACCACAACTATCAAAAAGTTATCTTGGGAATCTAAAAGTGATGATATTTTAAGTCCCATTAAAGAAAAAAACCCCAAAATTAAAAAAATATATGTGTGTGTGTATACACACATATTTACATATACACATATGTATATACACGGCTAAGATCAAGAAAAAAATAAAAGTAGGAAAATATAAGTTAATTCACAAAAAGTGATTTTAATTTAGATGTACTTTTACTTAGAATCAAATTTTATTCATTTTTCTGGTCATAAACCAGCAGCAATAAAGGAATTAGCTTCTACCTTCAGAATATGTCCCTCAAACTAGAGTCAGAATTCTGCTTTAAGAATGTAGATAACAGGGGCACCTGGGTGGCTCAGTCGGTTAAGCCTCTGCCTTCAGCTCAGGTCATGATCCCAGGGTCCTGGGATCGAGCCCCGCATCGGTCTCTCTGCTCCGCAGGGAGCCTGCCTCCACCTCTCTCTCTGCCTGCCTCTCTGCCTACTTGTGATCTCTGTCTCTCAAATAAATAAATAAAATCGTAAAAAAAAAAAAAAATGTAGATAACAACAACAAAAAGAATGTAGATATTAGTAATGAAATTCAAACACAGTATGCTCATAAGTCAAATGAGAATTCAATAATGCTATAAGAAAGTATGAAAAGACCCCTAACCATCTTCTTACCTCCATGCTACAAATGGCTAGGAAAGTCCTCATACTATCTGCCAGATAAACCATCCTTTCTGAGTAGTGGATTTAATCAGCCAGGCACACCTAGTCCATCCAAATTAAGATAGGAAGCAAAACTCAAGGGATGCCTTTAACATGAAAATGAGTTTTATACCACAATGCTCCTACTGCCTCTCTAGAAGCTGACTTCGACCATAACACAGTAAGAAGTGTGGGGTTTAAGGTTACTTCTTGCTGAATTGTTCTTGCTGAATTGTTCGTGCAGAATCACTGGGACAACCACTATGCTTCTGGAAAGCAAAATGGGAGCACCTGGGTAGCTCAGTCAGTTAAGCATCTGACTTGGCTCAGGTCATGAGTTCTGGGTCCTGGGATGGAGCCCCATGTCAGGCTCTGCACTCAGCATGGAGTCTGCTTGTACCCCTGCCTCGCCCCACACCCCGCTTGGGCTCCGGCATGCACTTGCACTCTCTCTCGTGCTCTAATAAATAAATAAATAAAATCTTTAAAAAAAAAAAAAAGAGAGAGAGAGAAAGAAAGAAAGAAAGCAGGGCTGGTGGCTCAGAGGGTTAAGCCTCTGCCTTCGGTGCAGGTCACGGTCCCAGGGATCGAGCCCCGCATCGGGCTCTCTGCTCAGCGGGAAGCCTGCCTTACCTCCCCCCTCTCTCTGCCTGCCTCTCTGCCTACTTGTGATCTCTCTCTCTCTGTGTCAAATAAATAAATAAATAAAATCTTTAAAAAAAAAAGGCATAATGAGCTGATAATAAACCCAAATAAAATGTGAACAAACTCTTCACCAGAATAGTCTTTAGCAAGAAGCACTAGGTACTTTGAGCTTTTTAGGGACTTTTTTCTTTGCCTTACCTGGTGTGTGCTGAATGGTAGCCCTTCCTGCACAAACACTACTGAAGATGGAGATGGATTATGACTTAGCTGCTCCTTCAGTTTGACATGAGCTTGTTGGATGGCTGCAGGTTCCTGCATTGTCGTATTTTCAACAGGCTGAGCTGTGTGGATGGTATAGACGTACTCAGGTGACTGTGGTAGAGAGCAGGTAATTGCTTGCTCTGTTCCAACCACAAAAGATGTAATATCTGAGCCTACAGGAGTAAGTGGCTCCAGCTGGCTAGCCTGACTTGTGGAAGATGCATTGCTGTTGTTTGAATTAGCTAGGATATGTTGGCCTCTGTTAGACTGAGATGTTGGGCACTGATTCTCAACAGGCTCCACCTTCACCATCTCCAATTTAGGAGAGGAATGCAACTCATCTACTATCTGAAAAACAGCTTCTAGGTTTACTTCTGTCTTTTTATTTTCATCAGTAGCACTGCAAGGCCAATTAGAAGGCAGAAATTCAACTGGATAGGAGGATTGCATTGGAGGATTCTGGGAAAAGAGAAAATAGGACTGTTTGGATAGAAAATTGAATATGAGATTAAGGAGGAAAGCAACAATGTTTAGGCTGATAAATGTTAAATAACTTTTAACTAAAGCTCACTAAGAAAACCTGAACACCAATCAACTTTTCAGCAATGGCAGCTTTAATTCTATTGTTAACATTTACTTAGCCACTAATATACATCAACCACTATGCTAAATACTGGAAAGGAACAATAATTCTCAGGGTTCAAATATACAAAATCAAAAAGCTACAGTACCCAAATACATATCCACTGATAAAATGCCTATACAACCAATTCTTTCATAAGAGTTGACAGACAAAAACATCACTTATATCTATCATATGCTACTTTAGGAACGTAATAAGGACATTTCAAACACAGGATGCTCACAAGTCCACCAATGCTTCTATAGATTCAGGGGGAGGTACTGATACTCTGTTCCAAATGATCTGGGAAAAAATGGATGGAATATCGAAGGTCCTTTGGTTCCTGAGATTATTTATTTTTAATAATAAAACATAGATTAAGAAGAGCTGTCACTTTTAGATATATTCTTTATATCTTTAAGATGTATTCTCTTATACATTAGTACTTTGCACAAAGTAGGCATTTAATTACATATTTGGGGATAAATAATCTCAAGCTATGAATATAAAATACTGAAGAGTAATAATTAAATAAAACGTGTGATAGATTGGTGTTGCCAAATACACGACAAAGACTGAGTCAGTTATTTGAAGGACATTAATGCCAAATAATGTAAATTTAAATGGTTTAAGCATCAAGCCACTTTCTCTAGCCAATAGCACCATTTATTGAGTTCTTACTATGTGTCAAGCACATGCAAAGTACTTTATATACATTATTTCATTTAATCCTCACAAGAGGCCTATAAAATGTGATAATCTCCATTTCCAAATGATGAAACTGAAGTTCAGAGAAACTGTGTATTTACCTAAAGTCACAATGAAATAACTGACAAATCCAGGTTTCAAACATAGGATGCCTGACTTCACAGCTCTTGTTCTTAACCATTACACTATAATGATCATTCATGCACACTCTCACCAATATCTATGATCCAACAAAACCAATTGCATTTATTTCCAGAATCACATCTAAAAATGTTTTTTTCATTTTAAAAATGTTATGTCTTCTTATCTTTATTTTCCTATAACAAACAAGTATTGTTCTTTCTATAGTAAGGATATTTCTAAGGCTATGTTAAATAATTTATTTAAAACATAAACATAAACAAGACATAAACACCATCAGAGTATCCCCAGTATGATCCAAGGGAGAGAGTGCCTGGATCTAATTTGTGGGACAGATATGTCCCTCTAGTGAAGATGAACAGACTAGACTATCATGCTTGATAGTCCACTGATGGTATCTGCCATTAAAAATGTCCAACTAAGTCCCTTTGATCCGGTTCTATATTCTTCAAACAACAATCTGATTATAATTTGGCTTTCCATGTAATTTTCTCAAAATTACTAGTGGAATGCCACTATTAAGCTATTCTCTTAAAAACAGAAGCTATCTCTGGGGCGCCTGGGTGGCTCAGGTCATCATCCCAGGGTCCTGGGATCCAGCCCTGCTTCTGCTCAGCAGGGAGCCTGCTTCCCTTCCTCTCTCTGCCTAATTGTGATCTCTGTCTGTCAGATAAATAAATAAAATCTTTAAAAAAAAAAAAAACCAGAAGCTATCTCAATGACTACATGACATCAAAGGCAAACACAAAATTCCAATCTTTAAGCAATTATAGCATAAAACTACAAAGAGTGAAATTTAATCTTATTCTAGGGGCGCCTGGGTGGCTCAGTGGGTTAAGCCTCTGCCTTCAGCTCGGGTCATGATCTCAGGGTCCTGGGATCAAGCCCCACATCAGGCTCTCTCCTCAGTGGGGAGCCTGCTTCCCCCTCTCTCTGCCTGCCTCTCTGCCTACTTGTGATCTCTGTCTGTCAAATAAATAAATAAAATCTTAAAAAAAATTTAATCTTTTCATAGAAATAGCAATCTAAAACATTTAAATAAAACTCAATTGCTTCCCAATAAATAATGTGAAAATAACTGAAGTGTTCACAATATGGGCACAAAAAAGGATCACCACTTAAATTTCTCATTTTTAATTTCATTTTCCTTTCTCATTAAAAAAAAGTAACTCTCTGTATCATCTTGGAAGAAACGGTCATTTGGTGACTTACGTACTTTTAAAGGTTATCTGGTATTCATTTTACCACAGAAGAGCCTAGAACAGTGATACTCTTTCAGCAATGATGAAAATGCTCTCTGTGCTGTACAATTTGGTAGCCACTAACCATATAAGACTTTGAGCACCAGAAATGAATTTTATATTTTATTTCATTTAAATTAATTTAAATAGCCATGTAGCTACTGCCTACTCTTTTGGACAGCACAGGCCTGGAAGAATCCTCAGACATCATTTTTATCAACCCCCACCTTTTTTTTTTTAGAACTGAGAAAACTGAAGCCGTAATCCACAGCTTACTTACTATTAAGATAAAATTACACTTTAAAACTGTGCAAGGTCAATAATATTCCATGTGAAATAGAGTGTGTGCACTGTTCCAAGACTCTTACCTGGAAGTAGTTGCAGTGTGCATAGGAAGAGGCAGTGGGAGTGACACAACTACTTAGAGCGTCCATATGGGCAGAAGGAGAGCAGCACTGTAGCACAGCTGGGACAAATTCAAACAGAGAAGAGTCATCAACCACAATTCACCTCTGGCAGCATGCAAGGCACTCCCCTCTTTCCACTTGGAAAGAAAAATTCCAAGTTTTCCTTTGTGGACGCAATAAAATTATGTTTAGTCTGATTAGGTGCTATTATTTGTTAAAAACAACATGGTAATAGACTAATTAAAAAAAAATCATTTTAAAGGGTCATGTCCACTTTTCCAAATGATATCTTTAGCACCTAAACATTCTGTTACTTTTCTAACCAAACATTTATTCTTATTGAAAGTAATTTCACTTTATGGAAAATATCAGAACGTATTTGGAATACAAAATAATTGTTTCGATCATTTTAATAGTAATAATAATTAGGAGGAGGGTGTGTTTTAAGGATAAAATAAGTGAATACTCTCCAAACATGCCTACCATTATACAACGCATCGAGTAAAATCCAGACAAAAATGTTTTAACCATTTAAAAAAATAGTTAAGAATTTAAATCCAAGAGCCAGACTGACTGGCTCTGGAGCCCAGCTCCAAAATTTTAATAGCTGTATAAACTTGGGCAAGGTTAATCTCTTTCGGCCTCAGTTTCTGCATCTTAATAAAATAGGGAAAATAACAGTACGTACCTTACTACGTTTGTTGTGAGGAATGAACGAGTTAATATGCATAAAGCACTTGGAATAGTACTGGCATACAGTAGGCAATCAAAAAATAAATAGCTAATGCTCCTATTATTTTAGCCAAAGAAGTGTATCTTCCAAGCTTTCTCTTTATAGTTAGGATACCATAAAAAGATTAACTCTTTGTACTGGTATAGTTATACTTACAGATGCAGTCTTAACAATAGGCTGAGTCTCCTCTTTTCCAGAGAGAGACTCTCCAGAGCGAATGAGAATCAGTTATAACACATCACACCTTTGGATTAAACAGAGGATGACATTTATTGAGCACCTGCCATGTTCCAGGCACAGTACTAGGTGCTTTACATATATTGCTTCATTTAATCCAAACAACAATTGAATGAGGTACTAACATTACTTTACAAAATGAAAGAAACTAAAGCTCAGAGATGTTAAGTAATTTCCTGAAAGTCACAAAGCTAATAGTGACAGAGCCAGCAAACTTCAGAGCACATGCTCTTTAATGTACAATACGTCGCTAATCTTTCCTTCTTCCTAAAATGTAACATTATAGTTTTACTAGAACTCCACTTGATGAATATATTTTTAAGTTGTCTTTATGATAAGGTAGCAACTTTCTATGTCCACATTTTTCATATTTTGTATATTTTAGCATACTAATAAAATTACTAAATTTTAAACTAAACAATCATTCTATGATCTTGGAAAGTAAATTAACCTAAGGATTATAAAAATTCATTGCAATGTTTCCCTATTTCTCTATTATTGACTACTGATTTTTAAAATGTCAGAAGTTCATGAAGGTATACCAGAAATAAACATTTTCTAGTATCATGTGTAATTTAAGCCATTAAATTTTCACATGGAAGGAAAAACTTGAAATAATGGACAAAATTCTAGTTTACATACACATGTAAGGGCTAATGTTTTCTGAATTACAATATTTTAACAATTCCAGTGATTAAAAAAGCCAGACTTTACTAAAATGGCCACATAAAATTCATGCTCTTATCACTTCCAATATAGGTTAGGTAAGAACATTCTTAGATTTAAACTTTGGGATTATTCAAATACACAATTCCAATGATTTAAACTTGATTTCCCCGAATATTTGAAAGCATACATATCTTGGGAAAGAACTTAAATCCAAAAATTAAGACACCAAGGAGGGGTCTGCTGGGTTGGCCAAAACTTGGAAAAAAACTGGGACATTTTTCTAGTTTTAACAGCTAAGGAAAACCTAGCCCCCTAGTGGCAAGAAGAGACTCAGTCAGGAGCTGCAGGTTTTCACTCAACAGGGTACCATGAAATAGTATTTCATTACGAATAAATCAACGAACGGTATTAGGTTTATTTTTCTGATATTGTTCTGATTCCATCGCTTACATATTTTAAATAGCTGTTAAAGTGTACTTTAAAATAAATTTCTTGGATTGGGGCACCTGGGTGGCTCAGTTGGTTAAGTGTCTGCCTTTGGCTCAGGTCATGATCTCAGGGTCCTGCGTCGGTCTCCCCACTCAGCGGTGAGTCTGCTTCTCCCTCTACCTCAGCTCCCCCCCCCACTTGTGCTTTCTTTTTCTCTCTCTCAGATAAATAAAATCTTTGAAATAAAATAAATTTCTTCGGTAAGTAAAGTAAAATATACAACAGAGAGTATATTAATATACAGCTCATAGTTGATTTGGTATCTAAGGAACAGCAAAACAGTGAAAGTCCTTTTAAGTGTCCAGTAACAAATGGAAAGTGGAAAGCTACCTGCAAAGGGGGACGTGAATAGATAATCCAAAAAGATTCCCAGTGGCTATTTCCTTACCAGTGCAGTCCTACCCTGTATGTACAGTCAACTAAATAGAACAAAGTAAGATACTAGTAAGTTTACCGGATAGGAAAAACCTAGCTACAGAAATGCAACTGTGTGGTTAATATATGACAAACTAACTCTGTATTATGAAAACATTGTGAAGGTACTGACATTTATAAAACTGAGTTTATCGCTATATCCTAAGGCACATTCAACTGCATAAAGATCTTCCACTGTCTTCCTGAAGGCAGTATTCACTCAAGGCATTTAATTGCACAGAGAATGAAAAACTGGAAATAATAGACAGAATTCTATTTCAGAAATATAATAGTTAATGACATTTAAAAAAATATTTTTAAAACCTTTTTAATGACATTTTTGAAAAAAAATTCTGGTAATTAAAAAAATCCAGGAGTACTAAAAATTATCTAGGTAAAAATTTTCACTCCCACTATGGGTTAGGAAAACAAGTTCATATTTTTTTATCCTATGGAGGTAATTCAAATACACAATTAAAATATTTTAGACTCGAGTCTACTTCAGAATAAGTACAGTATCAACAGTGAGAAAATGCCAGTATAAATGCTCAACAGGAAAAACATCTCAATTGTAAATTTAGTTTCAAGATAAGCTACTACACATCTAGAAACCCAATATTTCCTTACTTATAGTAAGGTAAAGGTCTTCTGGGCATATCCCCAAAAAAGTGAAAGCAGGCACTCAAATACATATTTGTGCATCTGTGTACACAGCAGCTGTGTTCATAATAGTCAAAAGATGGAAGCAACCCAGTGTCTACCAACAGATGAATGCATAAAAAAAACTGGTACATACATACAATGGAAAATTATTCAGTATTAAAAAATAAGGAAATTTGGACAGATGCTAGAGTATCAATGAACCTTGAACACAGTATGCTTAATGAAATAAGCCAACCACAAAAGGGCAAATGTTGTAGGATTCCTTTTATATGAGTCTCGGGGAAGACGAAGTAGTTCTGGAGATGGAAGGTGGTAATACTAGGATATACAACAGTGTGAATGTATTTAATGCCACAGAACTGTAAACTTAAAAATGGTTAAAATGGTAAACTACGTTATTTATATTTTACTTCAATAAAAAGAAAGGCAGGGGCGCCTGGGTGGCTCAGTGGGTTAGAGCCTCTGCCTTCAGCTTGGGTCCTGATCTCAGGGTCCTGGGATCGAGCCCCGCATCCGGCTCTCTGCTCAGCAGGGAGCCTGCTTCCTCCTCTCTCTCTGCCTGCCTCTCTGCCTACTTGTGATTTCTGTCTGCCAAATAAATAAATAAATTTTTAAATAAATAAATAAAAAGAAAGGCGATTAAAATTATGCTTTTGCCTAGTTTCTTCTGGCAGCTAAAGAGAACTTCCTGCCCCTCTTTTCATAAGAACAAAATCAGGCCTTTTCAAAGACACCGACGATAGAGGATAGAGACTGCCTGAGCTCAAGAACGACAGCACTGGAAAGCTCTTATAACTCCAGGTGCTGTATTTGTTTATGTACACTATATATTATTAAAAGCCTGAAGATAAAATCTTTAGAATTTAAATGTACTTTCAAACAATAATAGGGGGTGCCTGGATGGCTCAGTCAGTTAAGCATCCAACTCTTGATCTCAGCTAGGCCCTTGATCTTGGGGTCGTGAGTTCAAGCCACACAGGGGGCTCCACACTGGGTGTGGAGCCTACTTAAACAACAATAACAACAACAACAAACTCACAACAATAAGCAATTCTTTTTGCCCAAGAGTCAAGTCAAAAAAATTTTAAATAGGGGCGCCTGGGTGGCTCAGTGGGTTAGGCCTCTGCCTTCAGCTCAGGTCATGATCTCAGAGTCCTAGGATTGAGCCCCGCATCGGGCTCTCTGCTCAAGCAGGGAGCCTGCTTCCTCCTCTCTCTCTCTGCCTTCCTCTCTGCCTACTTGTGATCTCTGTCTGTCAAATAAATAAATTTTAAAAATCTTTAAAAAAAATTTTTAAATAATGATACAATATGTATTTTTTCAATAAAAAATAAAAGCATCATATGTACCTTGCGGAAGTTGTATATTCTTACAAACTACTGTATTTAGATTCTAGGATGTTAATATGTAGGTTCATTTGAAAGACAGCTTTTAAACTGTTTTATCCTTTCTATGTAAATAGTGTTTTAAATTTTATAAAGTCTATTCACATACATTAAATTCATTTAATCCCTGACCTGAAGTACTATTACCACTTACAGGAAGGGAAATTGAGGCGAGTGTCATGAAATAATCCAGTGAAGATCAGGTTGAATGATTAATTACAAAGTGGAGACTAGAGTTATTTCATTCCATTCAATACACTATTTACTAGGGAACCACTATAGCCGAGGACTACACTAGGTACAGGGGTATACAGAAATGAATTAGAGGCAGCCCCACTCCTCAGAGGCACCAAACCAGACATCCCACTCTAGCAGTTGGGTGTTTGTTCTCACTGCTTAGGTAGGACGAGCCAATAATCCAGGTTAGTCCCACTGCCACCAGTAGCATCCCCATCATTTCCTATTGTCTGTCCTATCTGGGAGTAACTGATTCTGGGGAGGAGACATACCAGGAAAGAGTCTCACAAAGGATAAAATGAAGAGTTCTCTATATGAGAGGCAGACAGGTAGCAGAGCACAATGGCCAAAAGAATGGACTCCTGAGTCAGCTTGCCTGGCTTTGTTCCCCAGGCTTGCCTCTGAGTAGCTGTGTTTCCGTTTCCTAACCTATAAAATGAGGATAATTACATTTCTAATCTTATAAGGTTGTTGTGAGGATTAAATGAATTGATATTGGAAAATATTCAGAACAATGCTTGGTCACAGTGATTACTATATAAATAACACCAGAGGGGAAAAAATGAACCCAAGATAAAGCAAGACTAAAAAGAGTCAGTCAATACTGGATCTACAATATTTTGTCTTTGAAGGAGTGATAAGAGTGGAAAAAAATGTAGTGAGCTAGGCAAAGAAAACAGGCGCTTCAAGAGAGGAATGACGAATGTAAGCACAGATTCAGATGAGTCATTTTATGAGTCAGTCTGCCAGCAATTTTCCAGTCTCAATCTTTGGCTTTTATAGAGAAACTGATTTATGAAATATTACAACATTCAAAATTTACTAGTTATACTCTTTGGAGACCAGATCAAAATTTATTATCAATATAATTTTTAAAAAGATGTTATTTATTTATTTGACAGAGAAAGAGAGAGCACAAGCAGGGGAAGAGGCAGAGGGAGAGGGAGAGGGAGAAGCACGCTCCCTGCAGAGCAGGGGAAGCCCGATATGGGCCTTGATCCCAGTTCTCCAGGATCATGACCAAAGGCAGTGGCTTAACCAACTGAGCCACCCAGGTGCCCATCAATATAATTTTTAAATGAAGTCAGTTGCTGCTGCTTACTAAAATTTGATCCAACCCTCAAATTCTTCAAAAGGATTTAAGTATGACCATGATTCCAAAATTAGTTACTTCATTATTATTTTAAGAGCTGGATTTGGGAGTGATTATTACCCTGCCTCTGAGAATGATACTCTATTTAACTTTGGAAAAGTCATTTGTAATGCTCTTCATAAACAGGTACTCACTAAACACTGGTTAAATTGCTCACTACTTTTTGCTTCCTTCACCTAAGATCTGAAGGAATCAAATACTTCTACGGTATTTTTACAGCACTTTCTTTTCCATAACAAGTCTTTTGTATTTAACAATACAACTTTTTATTTATGTAGTACTTCAGAATGTTCAAAGCAGTTTTGCTTATTACACTATATCATAGACCTACTCTATTTATTAGATGTTGTCATGAGATCATGACATTTCTTATTCTTATGACCTCAGAAACATTATAGTCATTTCAATTCGCCCTATTAAAGAAAATAAAACAAAAATTCAGATAACATAAGATTCTCTTTCACATGCCCTGTAAGCTATCAAAACATCAGCAGCACTTACTTGTTCTTTTAATGTCTCTTTCCTAGTCCTTACCTTGAACTCTTGGAGACAATTTTTAATTTATAATTTTATATCCAAGCTAACAGAAAATATTTTTAATTAACATATCCTAAATAATAATAATTTACAAGTAGTATTTCTATAATGAATGAATAATATCAACTATTTGTACTGTCTTCTGGTACATAATACAAAGTGGTTCCCATAAAATTTGGAACCAAGGGTTTCTGAGGATTATCTGGAACTTGAAATACATTTTCCCATAGAAACAACATCACATAGGCTAATTTGGCTCCTATACCAGATTATAACCATCTGTACCATAAGTGTACAACTGATAGTAATACAGAACCTAACCACCCTATCTAATACATCCATAGGAAAATGCCTCCAAAATTACAAATTGGAAGGTTAAGCACATTTCTACATTTCTTCTTGCTGCAATCCTTCTAAATTTAAACTCCCCAGAAGCTTCTGAGTCTTTAGCAGTTTTGGGGGGGGGGGTGGTTTGGAGGGAGTATAGGAAAGGAGAGAGAAACACTGGTAAAAGGAAGGGAGGTGGGATATTATCCAACTGATGAGCTGTAGAATGTAAAGCGAGTGTAAGGAAGACACAGACTCTGTGTATGTATATACAGTCCAGGCATACCCGGAATGCAGCTGAAATTATAATTTAGATAGTAATGTCTAATCTGTTTATTGAAATGTTGAATTAAACTATTCACCAATAAAAATCTGACTCTATTTGTTGGTATACATAAGATCTAAAACTTCTAACATGAATTTACTCATCTTCTATTTTTCAAGATCACACAGATATTTTTGTTTTTCAAAGAAGTAGCTGAAAATCTGGAAAAACACTAGACTTCAACCTTTTCCTGCATAAGAAGTAAAAAAATTCAGATTTCTAACAGGCAAAATTAATAAAAGTACTAAGGCATCCTTAATCCATATACTTCCTTTGCCTTTTCCTTCTCAACTCCATCCACCCAAACAGTAGCAGCTCTAAAAATACATGAAACCCAATCTAATTTAAATTCTTGTTTTATTATTTTAATATTAAAATATTAAATATTTTGAGAAAATAAAACAATTCCTTTTACTGTCATATTTAAGTAGAATGCAATAAGCCAATAATAAAAGAATACAGTTGGATGTTACAGCTAAAAAATAGTGAGACCTGTTACAAACAGACGTTACCAGATTTATAACTTGTAAAGGTCAACAAATTATTTTATTCCCTTATCAAATTTACATCCTTCCACTTATTTTAGCTTTTGACTTCCTCCCGTCTGGGAGAAATGGTCTAACAAAATACCTCTAGAGATAGCTTCCAGAGCTATATATTTGAGAAAATTAATATTCCTAGAGTCTTAACAAAAGAATGCCTTCTTCTCTCTCTGGTCTTTTCTGAAAGCCTTGATTGACCCTTGTCTTATTTCCATTGCCCCATTTCGTCACTCAGTATTAAAGTACTCTGCATGATGAAACACAGCATGACTACATGGTGCTCCTACAAAATTGAAGATACATTTGAATGGAAAGGAAAGGCTATTATCTTGCAAAACTGTAACCCTCCCAAAAGATACTCCCCTCCCCACAAGAAGCTAAACACATGGTCACTATCATAAGGATTCCTGATTAGTGGCTTGAGATCTACAGTATTTCTTCAACCCTTGGCTGAGCTCTAAGTCATTTGTCATTGTCAGGTTCTCTTCTCTGCTACTCTGCACTTCTCAGTTGGCTGGGATTAACACTGCAGGGACTGCATTGTCAAATCACACGATCACGTTTTTACTAAAAGAATATAATTTTGTTTTAAGAGCTAGAAAGTATGTTCTTTTATTAAACTTCATTACTGAGATACTAAAATGATTTCATTATGAGGTAATCTCACCTATAACGTTAAAAAATACAGTACATACAGTTGACCATTTAACAACGTGAGTTTGAACTACGTGGGTTCACTTATATGATATGAGGATTTTTTTGATACAGTACAGTATTGTAAATGTATTTTTTCTTAGGATTTTCTTAATAACATTTTCTTTTCTCTAGTTTATTGTAAGAATATAGTATATAATACATATAACATACAATGTGTTAATCAACTCTTTATGTTCTCTTAGGTAAGTCTTCTAGTCAACAATAGGTAATTAGTAGTTGAGTTTTGGGGCAGTCAAAAGTTATACACAGATTTTCAACTGCATGGGGGTCAGTACCCCAATCCTGCATTGTTCAAGGGTCAACCATAACATGTATATAATTTTTTTTAAAGAAAAGAAACAAAATACTGCACCAACAGCAAAGTTAAAATGAGGTCTCAATGTACTATATATACCCTAATTTCATTACTAGGACACATTTCAAAGATACAAAAGTTTCACCAAAAACATATACTTTTATGTACCCAACAGAATTTTCACAATCCTTAAGAACACAATAAAATTTTATATATTGCTTAAAAATATGCCCTCATGAGAAACCTTTGACATTCCTTAGGTATGCACCTATTCCTAAGCATGCAGAAATGCATAAATATATAAACTTTCATCATAAAGTACTTTAAGAGAAGCCACTGAACTTGAATTTCTCATACCTGTTGGATAGTAGGCTTGGGAGTACTGCGCTGAGGGTGTGTAGTTACTGTATTTTTGGGAGGAGCTGACCATTGTTTGAGGACCTTGCTGAACGTGTACGGATGTGGCACTTGGCTGCAGGGTATAGGTAACCTCGGTTGGAAACCGCTGCAGTACAGGAAATGGAACCCCTTTATCTGAAAAAGTGGGAGATGTTTCCACTTGTCCTGGGTGCATTCCAAGGGAGTTCTGCCATGTTCTAGGAGGAATCGGGGTCCGATCTAAACCTTTCAGAGGGAAAGTACTGTGGTTGTGGGATGAAGTCGATACGTAGGAGTAAGGAGACAAACTATCTCGCCGGAATGACCGGTGGAATTGTCCTACAGCCACTGGTCCTGCATAAAAAAAGGAAGAACACATTTACTAATTTTACTTTATACCACCGGATAGAGTAAACCAAAAGTCACAAAATATGAATATGTTGAATTCTCAGCCATTTTTAACAAAACAGAAATTTAGTTCTGGTGGAAATAAGCTCAGAATCCAGAATACAAATAATGCTAAAAAAAAATAATAATCAGACTTCTGGTTGGTTCTCAATATTACTGTCAGAAGAGACAAAGTAGCCAAACTCTAATATTAAATCAAATGTTAAATCAAATTCAATGTTTAAAGCTTTTTATAGACAATTTAGTCATCTTACCTTTTTTACCTCAACTGCCTCAACTGATTGACCCAGATTTTTCCAATCTGTAAGCTACTTCCTACAAGTTTTAGAAATTCCATTCAGTCCTTCAAATCATTTAGAAACCTTAATAATAGGTACATAAGTAAACACTCAACTGTATATATAGAAGAAATAAGTGTAGATAAAGTAAGAACTATAACACAAACCAAAAAGAAAGTTAATGGTCTTTACTCCCCTTTCAATTTTTTTTTTTTTTAATGATAACCTTTGCAGAAAAGTCAGGCTTGAAAACTTTGACTCAGTTTTCTTCTTCCTTTCTTAAATTAATCAAAAATTTTCCAGGGTCTTTTTTTCTTCAGAGGATCTCTATTAGAGTCCCTTCCTAGATATTAGTAGCTCTCAAACAATTGTTTACATCTGAAATCACCTGGACAGTTTGTTAAAAATCGACATACTCGGGCCCAAAGATTCTGATATTTGCTTTCTCTTATCTAATAAGGTAGAAAGGAATTAAAAAGTGGAGATGATGAAGAGAAAGGGCAATATCATATAAAGGGGAAAAAGAAAATATACATGTTGCAAGCTGAACTTATTTTTCAGACTGTAATTCTTGAACATAAAGGTAGGCTAATTTATTCCCAGGAAGGCATCATGTATTAAATTATGTGGTTCACAAATTCCTTTCGATTTGTTTTATTAAGCTAATCTATTTAAAACAGAGGGAAAGGGGCGCCTGGGTGGCTCAGTGGGTTAAGGCCTCTGCCTTCGGCTCAGGTCATGATCCCAGGGTCCTGGGATAGAGCCCCACATCTGGCTCTCTGCTAGCTGGGGAGACTGCTTCCTCCTCTGTCTCTCTCTCTCTCTCTCTCTCTGTTTGCCTCTCTGCCTACTTGTGATCTCTCTCTGTCAAATAAATAAATAAAATCTTAAAAAATAAAATAAAACAAAACAAAGGGAAAGTCTAATTTATGTGCTACTTATCTGTTAAACTACGTGATAAAGGATGACACTCAAAAATCTACTTTTCCAAATATTTAAACTGGAAACCCATTCAATATGTTATACATCTTTCATTCTATTTCTTTGGTGTTTAATTTCCTTTAAAAAATTTCCTCTATGCTGTGAAGTGTGTAAACCTGGTGATTCACAGACCTGTACCCCTGGGGATAAAAATACATTATATGTTTATAAAAAATAAATTAATTAATTTAAAAAAATTTAAGAATTTCCTCTGGGATGCCTAGGTGGCTCAGTGGGTTAAGCCTCTGCCTTTGGCTCAGTTCATGGTCTCAGAGTCCTGGGATGGAGCCTCGCCTGCTTCATCCCCCTCTCTGCCTGCCTCTCTGCCTACTTGTGCTCTCACTCTCTCTCTCTCTCTCTGTCAAATAAATAAATAAATAAATAAATCTATCTATCTATCTATCTTTAGGGGTGCCTGGGTGGCTCAGTGGGTTAAAGCTTCTGACTTCCGCTCAGGTCACGATCTCAGGGTCCTGGGATCGAGCCCCGCATCGGGCTCTCTGCTCGGCAGGGAGCCTGCTCCCCTTCCTCTCTCTCTGCCTGCCTCTCTGCCTACTTGTGATCTCTGTCCGTCAAATAAATAAATAAAATCTTAAAAAAAATTAAAAAGAGAAAGAATTTCCTCTAATAAAGAATAAAGCAATAGGGGGCACCTGGGCCGCTCAGTCAGTTAAGCATCTCACCCTTGATTTTGGCTCAGGTCATGATGTTCTGAGACGAATCCCCACGTGAGGCTCTGTGGTGGGTGTAGAGCCTGCTTAAGGTTCTCTCTCTTGGGGCTCCTGGGTGGCTCAGATGGTTAAGCACCTGCCTTTGGCTCAGGTCATGATCTCTGGGTCCTGGGATGGAGCCCCTCTTCAAGCCCTTCACCAGGCTCCCGGCTCAGTGAGAAGTTGGCTTCTCCCTCTCGCTTTGCCTCTCTTCCCTGCTCATGCTCTCTCTCTGTCTCAAGTGAATATTAATATTTTAAATATTAAAAAAAATTCTTCCTCTCCCTCTGCACCTCCACTCCACTTGCTGTCTCTCTCTCAAAAAAAAACAAAGGGGGACACCTGGGTGGCTCAGTTGGTTAAGAGCCTGCCTTCGGCTTGGGTCATGATCCAGGGATCCCGGGATTGAGTCCCACATCGGGCTCCTTGCCCAGCGGGAAGCCTGCTTCTCTATCTGCCTGCTGCTCTCACTGCTTGTACTCTCTCTCTGACAAATAAAGTATTAAAAAAAAAAAGAATAAAGCATCAGAAGCACTCCTAACCACTTCTGGCTTGGCACTGCCTGATTCATATCAATTTTCATAAAATAAACTCTTAAAAAATAATAAAATTTTTATTTTTATTTTTTTAAAAGATTTTATTCATTTATTTGACAGAGATCACAAGTAGGCAGAGAGGCAGGCAGAGAGAAAGGGAAGCAGGCTCCCTGCTGAGCAGCGATGCAGGGCTAGATCCTAGGACCCTGAGATCATGACCTGAGTCGAAGGCAGAGGCTTTAACCCACTGAGCCACCCAGGTGCCAAAAAATAATAAATTTTTTAAAAGGAACAAAGCACTAATGCCAAAAACAAACACATACATACACATATACACACAAATTCTAGAGCCCTGGAAATCAAGAGATCTAAATCTAATGAGGGAAAAAATTCTTAGTTCAGAGACTGAAAGTATACAAATGATATATACCTCTTAAAAACTGCTTTTCCCCTTTCCCTCTAAAGTACAAAAAAATAGTTTTTATAGTATTTGACTACCAATTCCATATGTATACACACTCCGAACTACCAGTGCAATCATTTAAGACCTAAAGAAACATTTTTTTGTTCTTTACAATAGGTGTTTCTGACGTCCAAAACTACCCATACTTGATTCTTCCTGGGATGCTTCACATGCCAAAACTGCATATTTCTACAGTGTGCAATAGCTAATACTTCTTCCACCTTCTTTAGAGTTAAGCTATTAGTGAATCTGCAGATTGTCAATAACTTAAGCAGCTAACTAAAGAATTCTCTACTTTGATTTCTCAAATTAAAGTATAAATTCTACTTCTATCACAATGACCTAAGTGATCACGAAATACTTACAGATTTTTAGATGCTGCTAACATAAGAATGCTGATAGGATTAGAAGGGCACTCCTTTACATTTGTTTGTTCTTTTTTTTTTTTTTAATAAAGAACTAAAACATGTTTACCTTTTATTTATTGTTAAGGGTTATCTCATAGGGTTCTATTCTGACCAACTTCACAGAATATCATCTATATGTTTTCAGAACATCTTCAAGATATATTTAGCAAATCCTTTCTGCCCGTGGACGCCGCCGAGTAAGCATCGTTAAAGTCTCCCCTCCCACCGCCGTCATGTCTAAGTCAGAGTCTCCTAAAGAGCCTGAACAGCTGCGGAAGCTCTTCATCGGAGGTCTGAGCTTTGAAACAACCGATGAGAGTCTGAGGAGCCATTTTGAGCAATGGGGAACACTTACGGACTGTGTGGTAATGAGAGACCCAAACACCAAGTGCTCCAGAGGCTTTGGGTTTGTCACATATGCCACTGTGGAGGAGGTGGATGCAGCCATGAATGCAAGGCCACACAAGGTGGATGGAAGAGTTGTGGAACCAAAGAGGGCTGTCTCAAGAGAAGATTCTCAAAGACCTGGTGCCCACTTAACTGTGAAAAAGATTTTTGTTGGTGGCATTAAAGAAGACACTGAAGAACATCATCTAAGAGATTATTTCGAACAGTATGGGAAAATCGAAGTGATTGAGATCATGACTGACCGAGGCAGTGGCAAAAAGAGGGGTTTTGCTTTTGTAACATTTGATGACCATGATTCTGTAGACAAGATTGTCATTCAAAAATACCATACTGTGAATGGCCACAACTGTGAAGTAAGGAAAGCGCTCTCTAAGCAAGAGATGGCTAGTGCTTCATCCAGCCAAAGAGGTCGAAGTGGTTCTGGAAACTTTGGTGGTGGTCGTGGAGGTGGTTTTGGTGGGAATGACAACTTTGGTCGCGGAGGAAACTTCAGTGGTCGAGGTGGCTTTGGTGGCAGTCGAGGTGGTGGTGGATATGGTGGCAGTGGGGATGGCTATAACGGATTTGGTAATGATGGAAGCAACTTTGGAGGTGGCGGAAGCTATAATGATTTTGGCAATTACAACAATCAATCCTCAAATTTTGGACCCATGAAAGGAGGCAATTTTGGAGGCAGAAGCTCTGGCCCTTATGGTGGTGGAGGCCAGTACTTCGCCAAACCACGAAACCAAGGTGGCTATGGTGGTTCCAGCAGCAGCAGCAGCTACGGCAGTGGCAGAAGGTTTTAATTACTGCCAGGAAACAAAGCTTAGCAGGAGAGGAGAGCCAGAGAAGTGACAGGGAAGCTACAGGTTACAACAGATTTGTGAACTCAGCCAAGCACAGTGGTGGCAGGGCCTAGCTGCTACAAAGAAGACATGTTTTAGACAATACTCATGTGTATGGGCAAAAAAAACTCGAGGACTGTATTTGTGACTAATTGTATAACAGGTTATTTTAGTTTCTGTTCTGTGGAAAGTGTAAAGCATTCCAACAAAGGGTTTTAATGTAGATTTTTTTTTTGCACCCATGCTGTTGATTGCTAAATGTAATAGTCTGATCATGACGCTGAATAAATGTGTCTTTTTTTTAAATGTGCTGTGTAAAGTTAGTCTACTCTGAAGCCATCTTGGTATACTACCCCAACAGTGTGAAGTTAGAATTCCTTCAGGGTGATGCCAGGTTCCATTCGAAATTTATTTGCAACCTGCTTGGGCACAGAAGCCGTTGTCTCCACAAACCTTGGTGTAGTTGAACTGATAGTTAATGTGTTGTGACCTGGAGTTCACCATTAAAAGGTCACCCAAGCAAAGTCTGGAGTTTATTTGGTTATTAATATGATTGTTGGCACATCCTTTGCAATATATCTAAATTGAATTATGGTATCAGATAAAATTATAGATGGGATTAAAGCTTGTGTATCATCCATTATCATGTGTAATCAATAAACGATTTAATATTCTCTTGAAAAAAAAAAAAAAAAAGATATATTTAGCAAAATTTAAATCCAGAATTCTGGAAATGCAAGGCAGGATGGATTTCTGCTCTTAAAGATCCTTTTCCCTCTATATAAATGAATCTGAGCTAATTAATTCCCAGGAAAAAACCTGCCTCCTGCCAGCTTGATACTCCCAGGCCAGCACTGATTATCTACTATTGTTCACACTTGTTACTTAGTTTAGAAAGTTTTAACAAATACTGTTAACAAATAGTATAAAATAAATTGCCACTTAAGAGTAAAACAAAAGTGAACCAAAAAAAGGAAAAACATGTGATCTTCACATTTCTTATCAGTACATTCCTGAAAGGTGAACAAGACAGCTAGTTCAATGGATCTAGATAAGAGAAGTCGGTAATAAAACAAAGGATTCCATTGGGGGAGAAAAAAAGACAGAGGTATTCAAACCATAAGCTGAAGTAGAACACAGTAAACAAAGTGGAAACTAAGAAGCAACAGTATATAGTCAGGCATATCACTAATAAAAGTTTCAAGAAGAATAAAAATTATATAAAAACAAACAGAAGACCAAGGGCTTAGAACATAGAATTAAAGCAAACAAAGCTGGCCCAATACTCTTGAACTTAGAATTACATCCTGCCCACACCTGTAACACAATTCAGGTGATCCAAGCATGTGGTATAGACAATCCACCAATGACACACCTTCTGCACATACCAACGGGCAGAATGATTTAAAAAAAAAAAAAAAAAAAGGAAATGCATGAAAACTACAATGATCTGGTTATGTATGGATTGATGTATTACTGATACTGCAGATACTAAATTTGTTATTCAACAAATAATCTTTAAAATGCCACCTAGAGGCACCTGGGTGGCTCAGTGGGTTAGGCCTCTGCCTTCAGCTCAGGTCATGATCTCAGGGTCCTGGGATGGAGTCCCGCCGCATCGGGATCTCTGCTCCGAGGAGAGCCTGCTTCCTCCTCTCTCTCTGCCTGCCTCTCTGCCTACTTGTGATTTCTCTCTCTGTGTGTCAAATAAATAAATTAAAAAAAAAAATTAAAAAAATAAAATGCCATCTAAATGAACTATAAGTGAAGAAAATGAGACGACAGGCAGCCCCTACATTTCTTTAATTAAAAAGGACTCTATCCGGGGCACCTGATTGGCTCAGTTGGTTAAGCGGCTGCCTTCAGCTCAGGTCGTGATCATGGAGAGCCTGGAGCTGGGCTGCCTGATCAGTGAGGAGTCTGCTTCTCCCTCTTCCTTTGCCCTTCCCCTACCTTGTGCGTGCACACGCTCTCTCCAGCTCTCATGCTCTCTCTCAAGTAAGTAAATAAAAATCTTTAAAAATAAATAAATAAAAATCAAAGAAAATAAAATGGACCCTATCCTTAGAATACAACTGGGTGTAACATAGATGAGGGAAAAAGAGAAGTGAAAAAAGTGAGCAAGACCTTCTTTTTAGGTATGCATGTATGTTTCTCTGAAGTGGTTATCCTATTTCTCCCATGAACACACTTCCCAGTCTTTTTTCCTTATGCCCACCAGATACACAACCTGAAAAACAAATATCCATGTCAGAGAGTCTGCCAAATGTCTGCCATGGTATTATCTCCATTGCCTTTCCCCATTCAATTCCCCACTCAAATCACTGGCCATCACATGGAAGCAGCTTAATCCTTTAGAATTCCTTTAGAACATTCCTATGCCACTGTTATTTTTCTATCTTGTTACTAGAACTCTAACCTAATCCCTTATCTTCTAAACTCCACAGACACACAAGCTCTTAATCCCTTATCTTCTAAATTCCAAATGAACAAAACACTGCCTCATTCTTAACCCTGGGCCTAGGTTAAACTGACCAGAGTGCTACTTTAATTTGCATATTTTTAAAGTTTTCCATATCTGAAACATAATCCTTACATACTATGTTAAATCAAAATGAACATGGTGAGAATGTTTCTACTGAAGGCAAAGAATGAATTCTCATTATTATATCCAGTTGCTGTCTTGGAGTACTGTCTCCTATCATGGACTCTACACAGAGAGAAGGAATATTGCCATCCTCACCTTTGCAGAAGAGGGGGAAGAGCACCAGAAATCAAGCTGATAAAATAATTTTCTGTCACAGAGAACTTTTAAGCTTTTAGTAAATACACAGTTATACAAAGTTTTTTCAGTACTGAAAGGTGTAAAATTCTTTTTAACTAACACTTGACGGTAAAGAACACCATTTTTGCCTTGTGCTTGTCTAACCATAACACCTTAAGTAAACATCAGCTCTAATTGGTTACAATGAAAGAAATGGTTGCCCAATGCATTGTATGCAGGAACAATATCTCATAAACAATTGAATATATTACTATGTTTTTGCTCTTAAGATATATAAACAATGTCGACCTTTCTATACATTCCTTGGAATCTAATGTATGACTACTGTCAGGACACCTGTACTAAGATTTCTTAGGTGTGTGAAGATGGCCTGTCCCTTCAAGGACACACTTCCACTCAAGGTACCTTGTTCACTTTCCCTCGGTCTGCATAAACGTTCTAAGTGTTCTTGGCCGTGACTCTCTGTTCCTTCCTAACTTGACCTCCACATTCTCACCCTGTACAGTAACTCTTGTTTTGCTTCCCATTAGAGCAAAGGAAACACCTCGGTGTTTCTTCCCGACCTAGTGCTTCGACAAAGGGCGACTCACTCTAGACGTTCAAGGTAAGGTAAGGGTCTTAAGAAGGTCAATGGCCATGGAGGTCTGGAGTTCAGGAGGGGCCGGGAACAGAAGGAAGCCTACAGCAGAGGTCCCTTTGGCCGCCAGTGGACAACTAACCAGAAGGGGCTCAATGCCTCTTTCCAGGGGGAGGTACTGGGGGACATGGGGTGCTGGAAACAGTGGAGATGACGGGAATGATTTCTCGAGAAGCACAGCAGCAAGCGGATCACCTCACCGGGGAGGATGTACGAAATGCCCCCCGGCAGTGGCGGTTGCTCCCCGGTGCCCCATGTGCCCTGCCGTGGGCGAGGACTCACCGTGCGGCTCGGGCCGGGGCCCCGTGGGCGGCGACGGCTCCTGGTGCTGCAGCGGCGAGGTGGAGGCGGAGGCCGAGGCCGAGGCTGACGTGATGAGGAGCCTCTGGAAGCGGTTGGGTGGCCGGCAGGGCACCTCCAGGCCAGCCGCCAGCTTGGCCTTGTTGGCGCTGGTGAGCCTCTTGAGGTGCACGAGCAGCTGCGGCTGGTCGCGGCGGAAGTGCGGGCTGTGGAAGTGGTGGAGCGGCCCGTCGCCCGCCGGCCCGCCGCCCCCTGGCCCCGGCCCGGGCCCCGCCGCGCCCGGCCCGCCCAGCACCACCTTGCGGAAGCCGTAGAGGTTGAGTTGGCGGATGAAGCTGGTGAAGTTGGTGGTTTTGAAGAGCTCGGGCTCGGCCCCGGCGCCCCCCACGCCGCCCCCGCCGCCGCCCCCGCCGCCGCCACCGCCCCCGGCCCCGGCCCCTGCCCCGGGCGGGCTGAGCAGCTCCGCCTCGAAGAGCGGCTGGTCGATGAGCAGCCCCTCGCCGCGGCCGTCCCAGCGGATCGAGCGGTACCGGGGACTGTTCACCAACCGCCACAGCTTGGCGGGGAAGTTGTTGGGGTTGATGGGGGTGGAGAGCAGCGCCTCCTCCATCGCCCCCGCCCGGGCACTGGGACTCACCCCGCCGCGCCTGGCTCTCCCACCCCGTTCTCGATCTCCCCCCCCACCTTCGCTGAGCCCTGCCCCCCACCAGCCTGCGCCCCGCCGCCGCGGACCCTGGGACCGTTGGCTCACGAGCCCCCGCCGCGCCTTCCAGCGCGGCCAATGGGGCCTCGAGTTCCCGCCGCGCGGCGGGACGCGGCGCGAGGCGACCCGCCCCCTGGACGCCGCGCCGTCCCGCCCGCCCGACGCAGCCGCGAAGAGCCGGGCCGCGTGCTACAGCGTGGGGCTCGGCTGCAGCAAGTCGGGTTCCCTCGGTGGCGGCGTCCCCGAACCGCCAGACTGCGGCAGAGTTGCTGCCCACCAGGTAGAGTTAAATCCTGCAAAGAGATAAGCCCAATTATCCGGCGTGGAATACGAAGATTCGTGTTTATCACCACCAGTGGGGGGGGGGGGGGGGCGCGGATTTCGAATTCTTAAAGTGTGCACTTGGCAATTCAAAATCAGCCATTCTGGAGAACAAAGGGTCTAACTCTACAATCTGAGGAGCCGTAAGTATAAACTAACAGTTTGATTGCTTGTCTCTCCAAAATAAAAATGGTGATGGGGCTACGGTACCTGAGTAAACGATTCACCTTTTAGATAGTACCGTTTTATGTGTTTTTTAATAGACCTTTTTACCGCGATATTTTTGCTCAGGGAAGGTTTAGTGAGAACTGAGGTGCCTCTGAAGAGGGAATGGGAAGACAAAAAATACAATCCTGTGTGCCTGGTCAACCAGCTGGTGCAATTTTAGCCATTAAACAGAAATAAACCTCACATGAGATGGGATAGAATTCTACAGTTTCCATAGGATAAATTCCTAGCGATCCATAAATAAGAATATAGCAGGTGCTGTGCTGATAAAAAGGAAGTCCATTTAGAAATGGAAATGGTTGGGAGGAAGGAGTATGTTTTAGTCTTTTCTTGTGGTCAAAGAATAAACGAGTATTGAGTTTTCTTGGAAATTAGAATGAATAAAAAGACCCAACAAAGCAGCACTAATATAGAGATTTTATTTAAATTGTATTGAGTTTTTACAGCACATTGCATGTTTGTCACAACGCAACTGCACAGTTTGGATTTTTGGCCACATCATGTCACTTACACCCACAAGAGCTCTGAAAGGAGTATTTGATGAATACATCTGAGCTGAGAGCCCAGAGTCTCTCTCCAAGGCCATGCAGTATGTTCACTGATGGGACAGTCCCTCAAAACAGCCACACAAAAGTAGACAGATACAGTCTCCTCAAATGTTACCAATCTTACTCCCCCTGAAAATGGGCAGAGTGAAGTGCAATGAAAGTCAAGTTAATTAAAAAGCCACTCGCAACTGGCAGTAAATTTTAATGATTGAGAAAATGCTTAGGAGAATTTTACATATCAGAGACAAGGAATAGTTTGTTACTTTTTCAATGATCTCAGGAATTTCCCAGACACAAATCTCCATTATTCAACTCCATTTAAATGAAAAAAAGTTCTGCTAGCCTGACCTAAATACGCCAAAACTTTTTAGGTTACATCCATGACAAGTATAAAAGCACAGATGCTTCCCTGTAGGACTGAAGAAAAGGTCAGGACAAGTAACAATTCTTGTTCTAAATGCAGATCCTAATTATTTTCAAATGAAAATTTTTTTTCTAGGAAGCAACATGAAAGTAGCAGTTAGACAGACAGCTACCATAGTTTTAAAACAGAATAAGCCTAAGTGTAATTTACCTTTTATACACCAGTGGATTAAGGAAAATGTATAAAGGAAATACTAGTGGTTTCATTATAGGTCAAGGAGACTATATCTGTCCCAACCACAGTACATGGCTATGTCACTGTATCTTTTGGTTAAGTGCCACTGGTACATATTAAGATGAAACCAAAACAAAACAAAAAAAAAAAAAAACAGACAAAAAACAAAACAAAACAAAACAAAAAAACAAAAAAAAAAAAAAAACACCAATGTTTGGTCCAAGTGGACGCATTTTCTCTCCCAATTTTGGTATCAAGGCTTTATTCTCTTCTGTTTGGGTTCCATTGTTAAGTGCACAGAAATAGACAGCAGCATTTGTACTGAAACCCTCACATACCAAACAGCATATACTAGGAGGTAAAAACCAAATGCTAAATTCTACCCTCAAGGTGTCAAGTGTTCAGGATAAGAAGCAGTGTGACCCAGAGGAGGCAGCAGCCAAGGGAAAGACAACATTAGGGAAGTGGGCAATGGAACAACAACAACAACAACAACAACAAAAAACCATTGTTTTATTTTCATGCCAGGAGAGGATCAAGGTGTAACTCCTGTGTTAGCACCAGGACAACTAGGAAAAGTCAGGCGCAAAGGGCAGGGCACAATCAGCAAATATTTGACAAGGATCATTTCTGCTTTTCCCTTCTCATTCTTCACAGTGCATACCTCAAGAGCTGCCACTGAGTAACAGAGACTACTTACTGCCTTCACAGCTCCAAATAACAGATTTTTGCTAGAACGGAACACCAGCAGAGTTTTCCTCTGCTCCCCAAAATGTCTCACTCCTTAGAACTGTCGCTCTAAAGTGAATATTCACTGATGCTGGCTGATGAGCCAAGTGAAAAGACACAGCAAAACCTCCACTTGCAGAACCAGTCTTTATACCAACTCCACAGAAAGACAGCACTACTGCAACTAGAGGGAGTGCCTCTAAAGACTGAGCCTTCATGCACAGACACAGAGCACAGAGGAACAGGATATAGTTCGTTTCAAATAGGAATTCCTATCTTATATACTAGAATCTGCTTTTTTCAAGGTGGAGAGATGAATCTGTTTATCACTTGGAGTTTGGTTATACATATGCCTTTCTATTGCTGTTTGGGGCACATCATCAGGCAGTATCTATGAAATCATCATCTTGTGACCACCCCCCCCCCCCAGGAGAAAAGTGGGAGTCACCAACTCAACATTAAGCTTCCAGACTCTGGGTCTGGATCCAGGACCATTACCCCAAGGTGAGGGTCTCACCAGTAGAAGACCTCCTGCCAAATTGGAATTCCTCTGCTCCAGTCTATGGTACCAAGGAGGATTTCTCAAGACGGTAACTTTGAGCTCTGTGATTTCATGAGCCATACCAAGGAACCTTCAAAACTACACCTGAAGCAGATCCTCCCTTCAAACCTGCTAAAATTGGACAGGTCATCTCCTCTGGCATTCAGCTGGAAGCTGTAGCAATGGGTTTCTTCAGATGTTGGCTCATGAGTTCTCTGGCACGAGATACTTGGATGTGTTCGTAACATGAGTTACAGACGAGAACTGGGTCATAGAGTTGTTGATCAGGAATGGGCAACTTCAGGTGGCAGCAGCCAGCACAAAACACATTCCCACAATTTCTGCCAAAGCACAAAGAGGGAAGAGTTCATCAGAAATGCCCATATGCGGAGAATGAATGATACTCCAAAAGGCCTTACATGAGTAAATAAAGAGAAAAGTTGGGCGAAAACAAAAAAAAAACCCTATAAAGCTGTCTCCATTTGCTGATTAACTCAACTTAGCTATACATGTATGTCGCTGCTTTATGAGCCATACAGAATCCTACAGGACATCTTACCTGCAATGGTGTCTTCGTTTGGCCAACCAGAACTCACAGTCACAGTTATAGCAATGTGATGCCATATGGTCTGGAACCCAGCGAGTCACCTAACAGAAGGCACAAGGAAAAATTCCAGGTCCTTGTTACCAAGTGGAAGAGCAACACTGCAACAAGGAAAGGATCTCAGGAGAAAACAACAAGGTCTGTCTTTATAGTTGGCCACTACCTGCCTCTAAAAAGACAATCATTTAGGAGAGAGCTCTTGTCTATAGCATGTCACTCATGCTACTCTTCATGCTAGAAATAGGAGAACTTCTATTTTGTAAGTATATACTTATACCATACTTACGTAACTATGCATTTGCCTGCACATACCTCAGTCTCTTTCTTATCAACAGGTTCCCAGCTTGCTTCTGAAAGGCAGTCCTCACTGTGATCAGAGCCAAAATCTTCTATATCACTGCCATCGGACTCCTTCAAACATGTCTGAAGAAAAGGCAAAGATATCAATCCATCTTCACCATCACTAACCTTCATTGTTTACTAGGCATCAGGGACTATTCTAAGTACATTACATGCATGTACTTCTTTCATTCCTCCCAAGAAGCTTAGATGTATATTATTATTGTCATCCCTCTTTTACAAATAAGGAAACCAAGCATTGAGAAAGTCAAGAGATAGTAAGCAGTAAACCTGGAATTTAAACCTAGTACAGTTGACCCTGGAACCACACAGGTTTGAATTGCATGGGTCCATTTCCATGCAGATATTTTTCAAGAAATACAGTATAGTACTATGTATTTTCTCTTTCTTACGATCTTCTCAGGAACATTTCCTTTTCTCCAGCTTACTTTACTATAAAAACAAAGCATACAATACGTCTAATGTACAAAATGTATGTTAGTTGACTGTATTATCAGTAATGTTTCTGGTCAGCAGGAGCTATTAGAAGTTAAGTTCTGAGGACTCAAAAGTTATATGGGGATTTCTGACTACACGAGGGGTTGGCACCCTAACCCCTGCATTTGTTCAAGGGTCAACTTAACTTTGGCTTCAGACCCATGCTCTTAATCAATATGCTATATCACGACATGAAAATATTATATTCTCATTACATTCTAAACCAGGGGCTCAGAAACTAGGCTCACAGGCCAAATCTAGCTTACTGCCTGGTTTTTTAAATCAAGTTTTATTGGAAGACAGCCACATTTATTTACGTATTGCCTGTGGCTGGTTTTGTGCTGTAACAGCAGAGTTGAACAGGTAGGACAGAGACTGTATGTACCACAAAGTCTAAAATATATAATATAATATACGGCTCTTTACCAAGAAAGTTTGCTGACTCCTGTTTTAAACCATCACCCTGAATAGTAAGTTGTTAGTCCTGACCATCCCGTCCCAGCAAGCAGGCAACAGGCAAGTGGGAATGTCTTAACAGGAGGAACAGAAGTACCTGTGTTCATGACAGGATACAG